CCTTGACTTACGTCAGGTCTGTCTGTTTAAACAAGATGTAAATATATTTGTTCCGTGGAAAGAGAAAAAAACACAAGTAAAACCATCAACGAATTCATAATGCAAACACTCTCCACAGCTTGATCCGTGTGTCCACCTATTCAAGCCACTGGCCAGGACTGATTTCTCAATTAACTGTGATTTTTATCTCACGGTTTTGGTTTAACAGAGAGAGAGAGAGAGAGAGAAACTGTGTGTTCGTGTACCATGTACTACAATTCCCATCTACACAAAAGCATTTCACGAAAGAGCAAAACTCTTTGGTAAATCGCTTTTTTTGTTTCTGTGTTTTTCTGGTTGGGGGTTATAAAAAGAGACGTCTGGATCACACCCTCAGACGGTCCCCATTTCACGTACTTTTCATTTCAAATGGCTACAATGGGAATGTATCAGTATAAGTGCACAACAGCTGGCACTGAATAAATAAAAATTTGAATACATTTTTTCATATGGTGACATTTTTTCATATGGTGACTTGCTTCCATAGTTTAGTACAGTACTTGTGACATCTTTTTCTCACCATTTTCACTTTCCAAATCTCAATGCTTCAGCTCATTTGTTCATTCTTAAAAACAATTTTAGTGTGTTTGTTAGATTTTCTTCCACCGCACAAGTTTTTAGGTTTTATGATCGATTATCTAATCAAGTGCAAACCAGGAGATCGACCTTACTATTGTCATACTTAATGTCAGTACTTATTACTACAATCATTTAATCTGACCAGCTTATAGACCACACTTTATCATACGTCATCGCATCGTGAGGTGTCACTCTTATGTTGAACCGTTATTAGTGGTTCTATTATTCACCGTTACTTAAACCGCTAACAGGTCTTATCACATGTCAGTTACCAGAACTGTCCGAATTAAAGTTACCATCTCTACAGTTAATTTTGATTCTAAAATCAATCTTGTACCCCCATTTTCAAAAAAAAAAAAAAAAAAATGATCCCCGCTTGTTGAGAGTGGTGTTATGCAACCTGTCAGCTACTCTAACAGATAAGACACATGTATTCGTTCCAAATCAAAATATTTTACGGAAAGCAAACTACATGTACCAGTACATGAATTTTGCCCATATATCGAAAAGCACCTGAAACCACTAATACTCCTGATACACGGGGATATGTATGGCCTTCGCCGAGAACACGACCGATTAGCATCTACCCACAATTTGGACACGTAAGACGGGCTTCTGCATTATCTTTTAAAGGCGTCTCCGTTGTGGCAGGTCTCGGTTTGTTTTGTGGTGGTTGACGATAAATACCTCAACCGCGTTTACACATCCAAGACTTCCTGGTTTTGTTACGGTTACAAGTATGGGCGTGCACATGTACAATATCCCAAAAGAACAATATATCACTACTTTATGTAGAAGGCAGGGGAAAGTGTACTTGAGCTTTTTACGGGCCCTTAACTGTATTTTTTATAAAGGGGTGCCTTTAAAAAACTGACCCTTTTAACTCCTTCTTAGTCCAACTTTAAAATTGCACAGGGCGTAGTTCAAATGTTGATTCAGAGCGGACTTTTTCGGCCTTAGGGGCGGTTCTTTTAAACCACCTGAACCCCCCCCCCCCCCTCTCCCTGCCACGAACATGTTTCACTTCCTCTCATGTCTTCTTTTCCTTTCACGATGGCAAAGCAGAAATCGGTAATCTACAGGAAAGAAATTTGCGCGGTCTCCATGTACATGCTTTAACCTTCAAGCTATAAAATGGTTATTTTATAGCAAAATCAAGCACTGACTCATTAATATATAACCTCAGGGGCACAATATGCAAAACTCCTGTCTCACTCGAATACAGATCGTGAGGTGCAAGTGAGATAGCGGTCCATTCTCGAAACGCATTTAAAGATATTCAACTCTAAAGACATTTCAAGTTGGCGCGTGATTCATAGGAAATGGAACATTTTTAAACGGACATCCCGTCAAATGACACATATAAACCGACACGGTCAATTTCTTTACAAAAGTCCTGCGGAAGCAGATAGCTGATACATTTGTTGCCAAACGGGCGATGATTCATTTAAAACTAAGATCTAATATACCAGTTATTAGATCTTAGTTTAAAATAGGAGGACTGTAGCTAGCAATTTTAAAAACGGCGGGGTCTTTCTCTGAAGCCAAAGGATCTTTTTACCCCTTGTTTGACTCAACTTGGGAAATGGCTTAGAACCTAAATCAAAATTTTAATCAGAGAGGGCCTTTCCCTTCCAGAAAGGGTTGAATAAATAAATAAAGACATTTATAAATGAAAGAATAAATAAAACATAAAAGGAATCTTTTGTAGGTTATTGGACCGCAATAGACTTTATACTTAAGTTCTCTTCGTTCTTCCTATCAGTCTCATAACTCGAGCATGTTCTTTAAGATACGTTTTCAAGTATTTTTTTCAGACCAAGAAAATCACTGAATTCTATCTATTTTGTTAAAACCAAGTGTTTTGTTGTGTAGAAGGGCTGCTGCATGCTTTTAAGTCAAAGATAAAGTGTAAAGCAAATAAAAAAGAGACAGAGAAGGACAACAATACAGCTCACGATCATTAAGTTAACTACACAAATAGAGTGGCATTTCTCCAACTAATTAAGTCACGTATATGCTCCATCGGTATCAGTGGTAATCTAACAGATATCGCTAACTCATGCGTCGGACGCGACGAATTAAGCGACCTGGCAATGAGGGATGTCATGTCCGGTCGGTGCGTCATGATTTATATGACTTTAATGGCAGGTGCGCAAGCACGAGTTGTTGTCTCTGATTGACTTTTGTGCCAGGAACTGGTAATGTACATAACTAGGAGTATTACAAGCAGGTATAATGACCGATACCAGTGTCATCTTCCTTCCTGTACTTGCTTTTTTATCTTGATAAATCACCATTACCGCCCGTTCATCGTCAGGTTAACGGGGCGTGCAGGGTCCTGTTGTCCTTGTGTGATGTGTCTCGCTCTCCAGGGACGGGGCCTGGTGATTTTGACTTGTTTTGTACATAATGGGACATGTGCGTGGAATGTGAACATTCGTTAGTTTGAACACTTTAAGTTCTTTTTTTTTCTCCGTGTTTACTATTTATCTTTATAATACACATGTAATAGTTTGCGTTAGTTAGCGTTACAGTCTGTCTGTCTGTCTGTCTTTCTACTCTATTAAATTAAACAATTGCACCTTTTAAGATAATGTTAATGTTTTTTATGACTTGGAATGAGGACAGTTGAAAAAAAAAACAGTTCAGATAGATGTTGATCAGATATGGATTAAACCCATTAATAACATTGCAAAGTGTGACTTCCGTGACATTGCAGCATAAAAACACACAGCACAGGGTGGGAGAGGTGAATATTTGGATACCTTTAGCCCACCCTTAAATGTTCCCAATTCCAACCATTCTCCGAGCAGATGACGCACATGGCGAACTCAGAGAGCTCAAATTAATGGGAATATGACAATTCGGTTATATTTAAATTTTTGTGGTAAATAAAACTGATCCTAAAAAGTTTACTATCAGAAATATCATGCTCAAAACACCTACCTGGTACCTTATTTTCAGCGAAAACCCCTCATCTTGCGACAGACTTGAGACTTATCTAACAGTAGCAAAATTCCATTAAGTGCCATAACGCTACAAAGGCGTGTATATATATCTACGTTTATCGGTAATCGCTTATGACTTTTTTCTTGAGTGAGAGCAATCTCGATTTGAGAGACTGTTTCCCATTCATATAACGCATTTTACTGAGCATGGATTTTATAGAATAACGCATAAATGCGCTCGCCTCAAATGCAGTTCAAAAAGTGATGCATGAAACAAGTATGGACGTAGTGTTTAGAATTGATAGAATTTGACATTTGGAATGCAGTAAAAAATAAAGAAAATGTTATCAGATCCGTCTTCATAGAGTATTTAGGGTCAGTAATTTCACCCTATGCTTTGACCGTTTGTAAACAACTTAAGTGAGTTCAAAATAATCTATGAATAATATTCCACATCAAAATTAAACCCCTGTCTATTGCTCTTAGAGGTTATGATTGTTCTCAAACCTTAACACAAAACATAACAGCCAAATGACCGATCAACATCTTTAAACTTGTCAAAGGGAGTCATTTAATGCCCAAGATGCCCCTGCACTATAATCCAAATGGAAGTTCTTACAAGTTTTGCTATATGTACTAGCCGTGTTAGAAACCACAGAAACGTTAAGTGTATTCGGCTGACAGCGTAACTATGGTCGGTTGAGATTTCTTGGTGTGATAGATGAACCACAAACCCGAGTTTCGCGATCGCCTTAGATTATCTACCACATCTTGAAAATCACAGAGAAAGGAACACGCACGGCCCTGTATACACAAGGTCAAAATACCCGCAGTCTTGAAATGGTTTAGAACAAGTGTTTCATGCATCAAAACTTATGCAACATGGGTGCGTGCATATCTGAGCGTATTTTCGTGTTGATGTGTATTCGCGCGTTTTTCTCAAATTATCACCCGCTAATTTACGGCTTAATCAAGCCTTCCAAGTGCACTAATTGGAATTCGCGCTATTGTCTAGGCTACTTTGCTAATGAGCAGGAATGAGGAAATTCTTAGTAAAGATAAATTACAAATTATCCATCGTCATGGGGATAGTCACAACTAAATGTGTCTCTTAAAAAGAATTATCTAATGGCGACATTTATTATGTTTGCGCAAAATAAAACACAACAATATACGCCACTTTTACATAATTTCAGCGTGAACAAGACCAAGGTATTTAGACTGTAACCCAAGCAAGTTGGACTCGGGGGAACACGCCGTGTCCCTCTGTACAGCGACCTGTAACGGTGACTGCGTGTGGTGTGAGTCACGACGCTGACAGAGATAGGGGAAAATGTCCCTTGTAGATAGAAATCGTGCAAAATCATGGAGGGAAACGGGAAGGGTATAAAAGGACATAAATGCCTGGTATAATTTAGGTGCTATGTGATTGTATAAATAAGGACTCAACGGGGACACCGACGCCTTTTCAAAACCAAAACTGTTACCTGTATCATTTTGTGTTAGGGTTCGCGTTGTCTTCGAAAAACGCCATCTTTCAACAAAAATCACAGTAAGCACTATTTTGTGCAATTTTAGCAGTTTTGGCAAGTAGCATATTTGTCCCTTCTGCTCTAGATACGTTGCAATGTTGCTGAGGATTGTGATGGCTGTTGTATCGCTGTCGTCCGCAGTGGACGGCCACGGCATGTTGCTGAACCCGGCAGGCAGGTCCAGCATGTGGCGACTAGGGTATGATGTCAACCCAAACTACAGTGACAATGAACTCAACTGCGGCGGTTTAGGGGTGAGTAAAAGATATCATGGACAGTAGCCGGGGCCTGTTGCATAAAAGACAACTGCAGTTAAACTTCTTAGACTCAGCATAGACTGCTAAAACTCAACCCAGTGTTAATGGTCCGTAGACTTTTGAATATAACTGGCCCACCAAAGATGTGTTAGACATAAGTAAATAGGCTTAAGAGCCCGTTCCCATACCTAGATCGATCTAGCAGGACCCATCTCCGAGGGGTTCTCGCTAAATTGCTTTCAGCTTAAGCGGCTCTGATGCCTGACTCGCTTACTGAAGCTATGAGGGGACAATTAACTATAGTTTAGCAGCTTCAGTAGACGTTCCAGTCATCTAAACCGCTTAAACTAAAAGGAAATTAGCGAGAAACCCCTCGGAGATGGGTCGATCTTGCTAGATCGATCTAGGTATGGAAATGGGGTCTAAGACACTACAAAGAGCAAAATGTTTCGTCAGGATGATTAGTTTGGTCAAACTGATTAACTGAAAACAAAAAAAGAGAGAAAATAGACATTTTAGATTCTTGCCAAATTCCTCTTAGTTCAGTAAGTCTAAGTAGGCTATCGTTTTTGCCCTAAAACTTACTTTAGCCGTCTCTATATAAAACAGGCCTCTTATAATAGGGTCGTTAATAAACGATTCATAATTGCAAGAAGCAAGCGGTGATTGTCTGTGTGTAGGAGGCAATGAGTTTGAACTAGTCCTAATAAACGTCATATACATGTGATTTACGACATTCTTCGTCAGAAATGGACAGAACGGTTAAAAAGGAGCAATTGCCTATTTTCTGGCCTGGCGGCGGCTGATGAGAAACCTTGTATGCTCCTCACAGACTTTCATAGGAGGAGCACAACCAGGTTTAGCTGCTTTCGGTTAATACAGTAAAAGAGTTGTTTGGTAACGACTTGTATGAGTGCGGAAAGAGTAATAGAAGTTCTGTAATCCCAGAAACCTTCAGTCGACATTATGACAAAATTAAATCTATTCAAACAAAAACAATCGCTTATATGATTGTAAAGCGATTCATAATTGCACCGAATAAGCGATCGTTATGTTTTTGGGTAGTTGGTATTGGCCTAGTCCGATTAAGGCCATATTAGGGGGCGGTATACGTGTGTCGCCAGCGGCATAGATTTCATTTTACACTTAATGCTGAACAAACACAGAGCGTTATTAAAACTTACCCATAATGATTATATAACCAAAAAAAAACTTTGTAGTAACGTTATGGTAACGTTATGTAACGTTTTGTGCTTTT